AATTAAAGCTGGTTTTCATGTTGGCAGAGATCCACACACATTGACTGATTTGATGTACACGACAGGAGCTTGGAGAGAAGCTTATCAGGAAAGCATAAATCCTATTGCTGTTCCTGAGGATGCTTGGTCCATACCAGAAGATGTTAAGGCGATCAATGTGCTACCACCGGACACAAGAAAAGCAGCTGGAAGGACAAGACAACGCAGATATGAAACCGCTGAAGATAAAATTCGGTCCTCGCAAACATCAGAAGAGAAGCAGCCTCGAAAGTGTAGTAGATGTGGCATTAGTGGGCACAACAGGGCAACTTGTAGAGTACCAATATAGTCTTCCACAAGAGAAGCAGCTTGTGGAAGTGAAGATGTTTGGTTTTTTAATGATCTGGTTTTTGCTTCTTTGTTTTGAATTCTCGGTTTTACATTTTTATGTTCAAGGAATGATGTTTTCTGCTTCTATGTTTTGAACTTCTTGGCTTGTCAGTTTCATTCTGATACATTACAATCATGTTTATCACACTAAGAGCATAACATAAGAGAATAAAAAAGAACACAAAGAACCACGGAAATCGACATATTCAGTGTAATCATCATATTAAGTGTGAGAAGAAAACACAAATTCGTTTAGAGAAACAATAAACTGATTCATTCCTGGCATCCCAGTCTACCAAACAGCCATAAAATGCTTCCTAAACAACCTAACTCAAGTGAATTCTTCTGCTTCTTAACTTCCTTTTCAACTGTACTTTGCAAACTCTTTTTGAGATCTTCAATCTCTTGTGTAATTTCCAATTGCTGAGCATCTAGCCTTCGAATCTCATCAAGCAAAGCTTCATCAACCCACTTAAATAGATGATTTTCCTTCTTCCGCTACATTCAAACAAAGTTCAAGTTAGTACATCAGAATGAATTTCAGTGCATCAGATCGAAAATCAGAGGATATGAAGACAGTATAAATGGGGATTTGAATAAAAAAAACGAAACATGTGCTCCTATTTCGCATCTATAGAACCGCCGGAACGGATTCTCATCCGTTCTGGAATAGAATATCACAACCCCTCTCCCACACCAGCATCTTGACGGCACTCCCTGCGAGAATCGCCTTGTGTTGCTCATGATTGGAAAAAGACGGTTTCAGAAAGAAAAAGAGGCGGAAAGAAGATTAGAAGAAAAAAAAGGAAAAAAACGGGTTTGATTGTTATATATGTCGGGTTGTATTAGGTCACTTGTGGATCTAGTTTGGGTGGGTTTCGTTGGCTGTTGGATCCTATGTCGGGTTTAGTTCTTAGGTTGGAAAGAGTACTCTAAGGTATTCGAAAAGTTTAGTAAGAGTAATCTAAGGTATGATGTTCATTACAAATTGAATAGATTTTCCAACATATGACTGATATAATCTAATCTAAGAACACCCACACACATGTATATTCATTGTTTTACCTTATGTTATCATTTAGAGTTATGGTTTCGTTTAGAGTATGTTTAGGGTTTCGTTTAGGGTTTCGTTTAGGGTGTGTTTATGGTTTCATTTAGGGTGTGGTTAGGGTTTCGTTTAGGGTGTGTTTATGGTTTCATTTAGGGTGTGGTTAGGGTTTCGTTTAGGGTGTTTTTATGGTTTCATTTAGGGTGTGTTTAGGGTTTCGTTTATGGTGTGTTTAGGGTTTTGTTTAAATCCTGCTTATACAGAATCACATAAAAACATAAATATATGTTCCTTTAATAACCAGAATCAGACATCAGCAATCCTTAAAAACCATAATTGTTTCTTACATCAGAAATCAGAATCCTTAACAACTAGAAAGTAAATTAGAACTAGATTCATCACAGAATCTCTGTGTTAGTCGAAGACAAACATTCTGGAGGTTTATACAATGCCATCCTCTCAACCAATTCAGGGTCATTAGCTGCTTCCCAAAGATCCCACAAAATCCTAAGGCGAGCTTCCTTGATGTTTTCATCGTTCACTAACGACAAATCCAGTCCAAGCGCAATACACTCGATGAACTTCACCGTGAACACACCACAATCACAAGCACTTATATTTAGCTTCGGCATCGGGACATATGTAACGGTATACGGATCGACAGTGAAATCCTTCTGGTATATTGCTGGCTGAACTGCCTTGACAATACGAGGAACAAGGTTTTTAAATCCATCCACCTCCTTGTACCTTTTTAAACCCGCGCAATCGTAGACAT